TTCGTGGGTACGACCTCGTACTTGTCTTGCTATACTACTAATTGCGCCGTACAATTGCGAGTTAACATAATATTAACAACACAGCCATAAGTGGCCTTGTGGCTGCCTTGCTTACCACCCTAGTTGAAAATAATCGTCCCTTGTATACTGTTAAAGATATCATCCCTTTTATCTCAAACACTACCCTAAAATCTTCTCCCAATCTAGGTACAATTACTTGTTGACAAGGAGACCACATTGTTGTACTATGTACCTTTCATATGAATAAAGTTTGATACTATATATCGCTTCCCGCTAAACATATATATATATATAGTTTTGGTTTTGACCTTTTTATCTTAAGTTTGGTTGAAGAACTAGTAGAACCCATGCCCAAAATTTAAGATCTTATTCAAACTTTACAATATTCTTTATTATTTTTTAATGTGAAGGCTTTTAATGGACAGAATAATAGTCTTGTTTTAATAAGTGGGGACAAAAATTGTGAGAATAGTATTGAATAGCTAGGTATTAGAGTCCACCTAGTTTAGGCGTTTAGCAAGTAACTTACCGTGGCATCAAGAGCTACATATGTTGCAAGTCAACATCATAATAGCAGATTAATTTGTAGGGCACGACACAAAGATGTAAAGAAAGGCCATTACGTTCTCTATATAATTAAACTACTGCAGAGCAGTCTAGTATTTCAGTACACCTGCTCATTGATTCATTTACCTTATCAAATCCTAGCTGCTTTGCCACTAGCACTAGCTTCAATGGAATTGATTAACAACCAGCTGTGCAAATTATCTATATGTTTCGGCTTGATCCTCTTGATGGGTGCTTGGTCTTGTGAAGCCACTTCTCGCAGTCTCCAAGATGCATCAATGCGTGGGAGATATGAGCAATGGCTTGCTCGTTATGGCCGCGTATATAACGACATTAACGAGAGCGAGAAGCGATTCAATATATTTAAAGAAAATGTGGGGTTTATCGAATCTTCCAATAACAATGCAAAGAAATCTTACAAATTGAGCATCAACCAGTTTGCAGACCTTACAAATGAAGAATTCAAGGCCTCAAGAAATGGATTCAAGGGGCATGAATGTTCCGCAAAGAAGACTTCTTTCAAATACGAAAATGTTACAGCAGCGGTCCCGGCTTCAATGGACTGGAGAAAGAAAGGAGCTGTAACTCCTATCAAGGACCAAGGCCAATGTGGTAATTAAGCGTCTAGCTAAGTTTATTAATTTAAAGAAACACTGGATAGACTTCTTTTGGAGCTTATTAAATTGTTTATGTTATTCTAACTACTGTTAATTGCAATCAAAATACAGGATGTTGTTGGGCTTTTTCCGCAGTGGCAGCCACGGAAGGAATTACTCAGCTTACCACTGGTAAATTGATCTCTTTGTCCGAGCAAGAGTTGGTTGATTGTGATACAAGTGGAGAAGACCAAGGTTGTGAAGGTGGCTTGATGGACGATGCCTTTCAGTTCATCCAACAAAATCATGGGATTAGTACGGAAGCTAGTTACCCCTACAACGGTGTTGATGGTACATGCAACACAAAGAAAGAAGCCACCATTGCAGCCAGGATAACTGGGTATGAAGATGTTCCAGCAAACAGCGAAAAGGCTCTTCTTACCGCTGTTTCTCATCAACCAGTTTCTGTTGCCATTGATGCTAGTGGTTCTGATTTCCAATTCTATTCAAGTGGTGTCTTTACGGGAACTTGTGGAACGAGCCTAGACCATGGTGTTACTGCAGTTGGTTACGGCGTGAGTGATGATGGGACCAAGTATTGGTTAGTAAAGAACTCATGGGGTACAGAATGGGGTGAAGAGGGGTACATAAGAATGCAAAGAGATGTTGATGCAGCTGAAGGACTTTGTGGCATAGCGATGTCTGCCTCTTACCCCACTGCATAGTTTTAGCATCAACTTAAATAAGTGCCTACAATATATACCTTATAGGTATATCCAATGATATGTATGAACTTGTAAGTGTAATACTTAATAGAGATCGTATCGGTGATGATGTAAACCATCCATTTCTGTTAATGAAGAATCTTCTAGTGGTTT